TATCGCATGCGGCTGGAATGCAGCATCTCTGGTGACTCACGGCAGCGAGCGAGTCGCGTATATGTGCACCGAGTGCGGCGAGGGCTTGTAAGCAGTCCCAGCAACCCTGAGAGAGCATCGGATCGCGTGCACGGAGAGAGCAAGGAGTTCGACTGCGAGGTGAGTCTCCCCTTTCTGTGTGTGTCTCTTTCTCTCTTTCTCTCTCTCTCTCTCTCTCTCTCTCTCTCTCTGCTCTCCTCTCTCTTTCTCGTCTTCATGCTCTTTGTGTGGGTGTGTCTCTTCGCGGATCAGTGCTTCGCGGTGGTCTTCGTGTTCGAGTTTGTTGCTGCGATTTCTGTAGTTTACGTGGGTTCATGTCTCATCTTCCGGGGGATTCGCGGTCGTGGAACGAGCAGACTGGAGACAGTCGTGCCGGACTGCTCAGTTGACGGAGCTCTATGGTGTTGCGTCGGAATTCAGTATGTCTTGACTTGTCATGCGGGTGTCGTAGGTACGTCTGCGGGGTCTCGTTGAGAGGCGTGCCTCGTTAGGGAGAGTCTCTCAGGCTAGGATGCTATCATCGTCGGTCTCTTTCTCTGTCTCTGTCACTCTCGTCTCGTCGCTCATTCTGAATTTATCTGATCTTATGTTCTTTTTCTCGTTGTTCTTTTCGTAGGTATACTCTTCGCTGGATAGCATAGATTGGTCCTCTTGTCATGTCGTGCTCTCTCTTTCTCTCGTCTGCTCCGTCGCTGCTTCTCTGCTCGTCTCTCGTCTTCTCGTCTCTCTCTCTCTCCGTTCGTCTCTCTCTCTCCTGCTCCCTCTGATCTCTCTCTCTGCCGTCTCGTTCGTCTCTCTCTGTCTCTCTCTTCTCTCTCCTTCTCTCGTCAGTCTCGATCTGGGTGCGTATCTCGTTCGTCTCTGCTCCGCGTCGTTCTGTTGGGGTTTCAAGTTGTGACCCTGAGTTTGACCTTGGAGGGAAGCCCACCACCCATACTAACTCCCACTGCGCCCCGTCCCCTCACCTGGGTTGGGGAACAAAACACCTCGCATCCACGCACAGTAGCTGTCTAGGTCACTGATCTATGAATAACAGCGCTCGTATAGTTTCTCTCGTAACGGATGGCGTTAGATGTAAACGTAGCGTTAACGGGTGCTCGTGTTCATGCTTCACATGGCAGGTGTGTCACAAGTCGTTCTCGAAAAGGTGGGACCTATTTCAGCACATGAATATCCATACCAAAGACAAGCCGTACAGGTGTAAGAAATGCCACGAATGTTTCACACAGGTGAGTGCTGCGCGTCAGAGCGTGCCCAACGGACCAGTCCGAGAAACGGTCAAATTGCCCACACGCAGATCGAAGCGTTCTGCACCGGTAAGAATACCATCTAATCGTTAACGGTAAGCATGCGGCGTAGCGTGGCATAACGTTACGTAGCGTGGCATAACGTTACGTAGCATGGCATAACGTTACGTAGTGTGGCATAACGTTACGTAGCATGGCATAACGTGACGTAGCGTGGCATAGTGTAGGATGGCATAACGTTACGTAGCGTGGCATAACGTGACATAGCATGGCGTAACGTGGCGTAATGTTACGTAGCGTGGCGTAGCGTGACGTAACATTACGTAACGTGGTGATGTGTGTCCACCGACAGTAGCATCGTCTCTCATCTTGACGTCTCTGCTCGAACGTGACGATGATGCGTGTCTTTGCAGGGCAGCGCGCTGAAGCAGCATCAGAAGATTCACCGCGGCGACCGGCAGCATGAGTGCGAGCTCTGCAACGAAGCGTTCTACCACTCCAGCAACCTGCGTGCTCACATGCGCGTGCACACGGGTGAGTCTGTGAGGAGACCTGACGACACAACCTACACACACGTACGCACACACGCACGCGCGCGCACGCACACATGCATGCATGCACACACACACGCACGCACGCACGCACGCACGCACATGCATATAAACGCATGCACGCAGGCAGTCATGCAGGCACACAGGGAGATCTTGTTCTCCTAACTTTTGGCTATCTGATGTCGACATTACTTTTGATGCTACAAGTCATGCCTTCTACACACTCTCCAACATATGACATACCATAGGCTCTACTTAATGTATATACTACTTATTAATATTATTATATACTGTCAGGCTTTATGCTCCGGTATTGTACATAGTTTGTACTGACAGTCTGACAGTGTGCATTATGCTCTGGTCTTGTACATAGTTTGTGCTGACAGTGTGCATTATGCTCCGGTATTGTACATAGTTTGTTCTGACAGTGTGCATTATGCTCCAGTCTTGTACATAGTTTGTACTGACAGTCTGACAGTGTGCATTATGGTCTGGTCTTGTACATAGTTTGTACTGCACAGTGTGCATTATGCTCCGGTATTGTACATAGTTTGTTCTGACAGTGTGCATTATGCTCCAGTCTTGTACATAGTTTGTACTGACAGTCTGACAGTGTTCATTATGCTCTGGTATTGTACATAGTTTGTACTGACAGTGTGCATTATGCTCCGGTCTTGTACATAGTTTGTACTGACAGTCTGACAGTGTGCATTATGCTCTGGTATTGTACATAGTTTGTACTGACAGTGTGCATTATGCTCCGGTCTTGTACATAGTTTGTACTGACAGTGTGCATTATGCTCCAGTCTTGTACATAGTTTGTACTGACAGTGTGCATTATGCTCCGGTCTTGTACATAGTTTGTACTGACAGTGTGCTTTATGCTCCGGTCATGTACATAGTTTGTACTGACAGTGTGCATTATGCTCCGGTATTGTCCATAGTTTGTACTGACAGTGTGCATTATGCTCTGGTATTGTACATAGTTTGTACTGACAGTGTGCATTATGCTCCGGTATTGTACATGGTTTGTGCTG